ACTTAAAAGTTCGCTGATTTTTCTGTGAGAAACAAATAAGCCAGCTGCTAAACGACATCTGACCTACATTTTCACCTATCWTATATTAAAAAAACTATAGAGTGGGAGGCAAAAAGCCATTGCCCCAGTGGATCTACTGGAATTGATACTAGTTCCTGTTTCCTGACTGCTATATGCAACTTCCCAGAGCCAAATGTTACCTCTCCATTTGGGGCCTGGAAATCAGTAATTTCTCTCCTACCTGTAATCTGTCCCCTCTATGTAGTCTATTAGCCTTTTGAAGAAAGGGTATCTGTACAGCACCGAGCACAATCAGATCCCTACGTTGGCTTGAATTTCTCTATGCTCTAGGAATACTAATCCCTCACTAACAATAGAGTCAGGCACTCCACAGAGCAGACACACAAACAGACTTTCATTAGAGAATGCAGTCCCAAAAGCCTGTTTTTCAAAAGGCTTTGCTGATTGGACTCAGTCATTTGAACAGTGATGGATGCACCGTATATTCCACAAGAGCCTAGAAAGAAAGGTGCAGCAGCATCAGCAATGAGAGGCAGGCATCGAACAATCCAGTAATACTAATGGGCTTAAGCATGTAACCAGCTAAAACCTGAATCTTTAACATCTACAGTGTAAATTGTTTGCTTTTTTTGTGAGTAGTCCCTGGAAATGCTGAGAACTGGGTATTTTAAAAAAACAGGCTCCTATTTGGAGAAAAAAATCCAACCCTCCTCCCTCCCCCCCAGCTTAGCAGGTTGCCAAAATTTCTGCTGCTAATTACTGGAATTTGAGGTGCCTTCTTAGCCTTTCAATTTGCAAACTTTTGCATCCACATCTCAAGCAATGAGGGTGTCTTGGAGAAGCCCCTGGGGTAAAAAGCTCTATTTTCCAATTCATATGCACAGTGATGAGAGAAATATATATGAGCAGAGATATTCAATTTCCATAAATGCTTTTGAGACATATTTAGTGCTTTCTGGGCTAAAAATGAGAGTTATTAAAATACACAGAATTCCTCACTTATAAATGCTCACATATTTAACAGTGAAGACCCACATTACCATAATTAGTAGCTTCCATTTTTGTTTATTAGTTACTGTCACAGATGAGCATTTCCATTGATTAAAGGCAGTAAAAGCAAATTCTTCCCAAGGGAGAGAATAATGAGGTTAAAATTCTATGGGGATTATTTGTGGCTTTTCACAGGCTCTGAGTGAGTTATAGTTGTGGAGTCCTGGAGTGATTGCTGCAGGAACATGCAAAGGACATGCAATGTATCTTATTATGAATTAAAGATAGCGGTAAGGCTGCTCTCAGAACCAGGCTCTTGCCATTCATAGCTACAAGACCTGCTATATGACCTTATGGAGGGCCACCTTTGCCAAGCTCTCAACTTCTCTGGAAGCTACTTGGCTCTTTCCAGCAGAAACCCTCGCTGTTGTTCCTGCAGGATGGCCAGGCTGGGTGATGGTGGCATCAAGACCTGCTTGCCCTGGACATATGCAGCTCAGGAGCTCAGATATCCCTTAACCTGACAGTGAAGGTCTTTGCTCCAAGGCTGATGCTGAGCTACAGCTGGCAATGCAGAGGGAAACCATGCAGGTCACAAGGCTTAATTTCTCCCCTGTACTCCTGTCCCTCCTCCTCTCTTTGCAGCAGAGACATGGCCTGAGATTCATTCTGGCCTCCTCTCTTCCTGTTGGTCCAATTCCTCTCTACAGCACAAGAATACACCGCTTCCCTGCCACCCCAGAGGGTGCCACTAGCTGATGGGGAATAGCAGCCTCTAGAAACCGCTCTCCTCACACCCCAAATTCCTTTGACAGCACAGCCTTTGAGGCACACAAAGCATTAAGAGGCCTCAAATAAATGATCACAGCATGTGTCAAAAAGATTAAATCCTATAGGGTAAATCCTATAGGGTACAGAGTATATTCTCCAAAGTAATGAAGACCTTTGACACCCAGAGGTGACTTTGTGTAGCTCAGTGCATCACCAGACTGAATGTTTGCTCTGGTGATATTTATTTGGGTGCATTATTCACCTCACTTGAATTGTCCCATTAATTGCAGCTGGATTCTGCAATGACTCAGAAACTAAGACCACCACAGTAGAAAAGTAGGAGGGCAAAAACTGCAGGCCAAATACAGCCTGCCAGATCTGTGGAATTCCTCAGATTTTTTAATAATATAGGCAGCTACTGCYGTACATCCTGGCAAGTAGGCAGCAGGAGATGCATTTAGAAGTAGCACTCCAGGGAGTTCCTGTTCCTGCAGTGCAGATAGGTCCCTTTGTATCATCATCATAATACAAACTGAAAGTGGAGGGTTATTCACAACACGATATTTATTGTACTGAATCCCAGCCAATAAAACTGAAGCCCACAGTCCAGCTCTGGCTTTAGTAGCAGACTTCTTTCTTAGGCATTCCATTTTATTCCCGCCACATACAAATGTCCAGTAACAACAATTTATGTAAAGAATAAATATCCAGCCATGGTCCAACACAGGCAGGCTGAATTTCTGACTAGCCTGCCTCTATGTTGAGTGTATTGAGAGCCCATTGACTGAGACAGGCTATCCGAGCTGGGCATGGAAACTGCCCAAGGTGGATGGTGTGGCACCCCCCAGGAGGCAGAATATATTTGTAGGGTTCACAGACGTGAACACTTCAGATCTGGAACGTCAGACTTTCTGCTCTCACCTTGCTTGTCAGGATCATATTGTATTTATAGAATGAATAAAAATCCCTTATCATCTGTGAGTGCATACAAGAAGATAAGCAAAGAACATAAACAATTAGGTAACTTAACACTGCTTTATGTCAGTAGGCAGCTGCTCAGTGGTCTCACCTGCAGGTGCCCAGCAACGAATTAATTTGTTCAACACAGATAAAGACTTTGCTGACACTTCATGCATCTTCACACCCTTTCCAAGGATTTGCGCTGTGGTTATGAACAAATCTGTCTTCCCAAATAGTTTCTCTTTCTCTGTCAMACATTGTGCACACTGTACGCTGTCAATGCACTGAGCTTTCAATATCTTCTAATTCAGCAAAATTGCTGGATTTTACCACAAAACTTGATCCACAAAAACCTTAATCATTACAAACCTTAACCAAAAGCAATACATCAAACTTGCTTTATGTACGCATATAGTACTATCAAACTTGACTCTAATTTAATGTTTTTGATCTGTAAATTTCATCTGTGTGATTTAAAAACCAAAGCGATACAGACTGAAACAAGATACAGGAACATCCTGTCCGAAACAATACGGGAAATAATGAGGAGAAGCAGAGAATAGATAGTAACTTTATTTCAGTCAGAATCTTAGCTAGATTGCAAAACACTTGTTTTTACTGGCAACCATAACATCTTGGAATGATTCAAGCTCAAAACTTGTGCCCAGAGTTTGAAATTATAAGAAAACCTGACACACCAGACATTTTGCATTTTGCAAAGGCAAAAACTACAGTGATATTCTCCCACGAGAAGAAACGCTTCACCTAGATGCTCCTGAGGGCTTTCTTTAGGGTTATCTGGCAACCTGAGTCTATCTGAAAAGCAAAATACACTCAGAACTACTGGGGCCAGGCCTGAACTCTTCAGCTGGGCAAACCTGTTGTTAAGGATGCAAGCCTGGGTCTGGGCCCCTGATAATATCACACAGTGAGCAGTTGATGAGTCACTCCTGTGCATATATTTTTCAAGGACCAAAGGCATTAATTTACCTATATAAACTCAAAATACCAGATTCYTGAACTACCCCGGATGTTTCTTTTCTGCTAGTAATTGAAAAATACTTTAATCTGTTAAGCTGCAGAGTAAAACAAAACAAAATTAGAAGTAAAGCAAGTACCCAGTCTTTCAGGTTAGTCTGAACTTGCAAAAAATGACCAAAGAGAAAAGGGAAATTGCTGGCTAGAACTGCAGAGATGGTGTGCACTGTAACATTTCTGCTGGATCAGCCTGCCTCATTCAGAGCTTGGAAAACATTGTCCATGTCAACATCCATACAGACCAAATATTCTTACAGTAATCACTGGATCAAACTCTGAACCACAGGCGGCTCCCAGCAATCCTGTCTGTACTTTCTGCCTTCAATACTGATACCGTGGTATGATAAACAATTCTGCTATTAGCAATTTGTTTGTTAAAACTACTGTCTTTGAATGAAAACAGGAAAGTTTATATACTCAAGTCATAATACAGATACAGAGCCACATCCAGCTATTGCAGCACTGAAAACCTTGAGTTTTTCCATTAACTTTTCTCACTTTATCAAATCAGAATCCCCTTCCCCACTTTCCCCCCGTTCTTTTTATGACTTTATGATGCCAAAATGAAAGCTGCTGTGGCACGGCTAAGTGTCTGTGATCACCTGAACCAAACTCCCACTTTTCCCAAACCCACTCAAATATGCAGAGTTACACCAAGAGAGGACTTGCTCTCCTGTACCCTCTTTTGCTCGGAAATGATTTTGCTCGTCCTTAAACCCACACTTCTAAATTTCCAGGAGCAGAAATGCATTGTAACTTTAAATATAGACTGTCAGTTTGTGGCTTGCGTCTCATATTACAGACAGCTCGGGACTCTAAACACAAGCTGGGCAGCACCATTAATAACTTAGAAAAGAGGCAGTGAGCTTTCGAAATGCTCTGTATTTTCATTCCTGAAGGCRGGGGGGAGGGTGAAACATTCAAATRAAACTTCTTCTAAGCCAGGATCTAGACAGAAACGTTACCCGCTTTGCTCTGTTCCAGAGTTTGCAGAGTCTGTTTCACTTCAGCACACATGCACACACACACTTGGGAATAAAGGAGGAAAACAGTTTCATCACAACTTTTTTTTTTCTTTAGGAAAGGTCTCAATCTTTTCTTTCCTTCTCTCTTCCCCCCCCACAACTGCACACCAAACACATTGACAACCTTTTGCTTAAGCAACAGACTTGTAAATCCACTCTTACTGTAAGGGGGGGGGGGGGAATAAGGGTACTCACGTGGTAGAGATGTCGTATTGTTTTGGTAACTCATAATTTACGCCTTTGGAAAATGCCTTATTTGTGTTGACAGTCTCTCTTCCCTGCTCTGAACGGACGGCGGGATTGAACAGAACAGCTGGAAGAGCCCGGGAAAATGCTGCTCTTGTTCAGACTCTCCTTGCCGGGCTCCTGACCCCTTTACAACTGGAAAAGGAAACAGCACATGTGTCATTCTCGTTTGCCTGTGCGGCTCACATGAGCGGGGAGGGGCACCCATTTGCAGATAGCACGAGCTGTATTCAAGTTTTGCGAGTTGGATGTTTTCCACCCCTTCGCTTTCACTAGCCAGCAGCCAGCGGAAAGAAAATACTCTTTTCACTCTTAGCCAAATCCAGGCGCACCTCTTAGGTTCGCGTCCCACGCCAGGGCTCAGCACTGTTGRTATTTCTTCTTCTCAGTGCAAAACTCGATGTTGAGTTAGTCCCTTCCAAAAATGCCTGGCATCAGCAGAGAATGGGCAGCTGGCAAGTGGCACTTTCAGTTCTCATTGACCRGAATCATCTGCATGGTCAGTCCAACCAGTTTTGTCCTTTAATGGSTGTAAACTGAGAATGACATTTCCTGGGTCGGGGCAGTTTTGCCAGTGTACAGCACGCATTGGAACTGCATTTATACAAAGGAAGCACTTGTGGCTAAGCCACTGGCTGATGTGCAGGTATCTCCAGTCCTGGCTCCCACACAGGCTTCCTGTGGTATCTTGGGCAAGGCATWTAATCTGTTTCTACCTCAGCCGCCCAGCAGTAAAATAAAGATGATAACGTCTTTCCTCCTCGCCTTGCTATTCTTTTTTTTTTTCATTCAGCAAGTGGGCGTTGTTTATATGTAGGATATATTTATCTGGAGGTCAGTATGAGGTAATTTACAAGTATTCTTGCAAGCTTCTCCAGGTGGCTCCCAGTCTGGCCTGCATTGCTGTCCACTGGGCTGCCCACATGTTGCATGGCCGCAGGAGCCGGCTGTGGCTGACGTGCTCTTGAATGTGCATTCCTAGCAAAATACAGGTACCTTTATAATCCTCACATCACAGGAACTACGGAAATTAGCCAAAGTTTTCATTTTCCAAGTCTGGGGCGGGGGGGGGGGGRGGGTCAGGATGAATTAACCGCTTGTCAGTGATGGCCAGAACACCTCAAATGGCCACAATGGAAGTGGAAAGAAAAACATGGCCCTGAAATCGGGGCCGAGGCTCATCCTGTTTTGCCATCCACCGCAGGATACGGCTGCGAGGCCATCCCAGCGACCTCCCACGAGGAGGCAAGGCCGCAGAAGTGGTTGGCAGCGCTCCCTCGCAGTGGCCAGACGCATGGCGCAGTGCGGGGCCGCGCTGCCATGCTCAGGCCGGGCAGCCACCGGCACCGGCCCTGCGCTTCCCACAGCGCTGGYGGCAGGGCACAGCTGGGCAGCAAACACAGCAGCAAAAAAAACCAACTCTCCACTAAAAGCTCTTCAGGGCAGCTCCCATGTGCGGTGCTGTAGCAATGCTGCCTGCAATAGTCCCAACAGCACCATGTGTGTGAAGCTCAGCGAGCTCCAGACTCTCTGAGAAGCGGCCAGGCCTTGTCACACTGCGCTATGGCCTTTATGTCTCCCCGTGTCCTCCTTGATGGGGGATTTTGGAGCCGCGGTGTCAAGGATGCCACGCAGGACAGGGTGCATCGGCCACATGGGCCGAGCCCAGGGCACCCCACATCGTGCAACGTACAAGCAGGATGGCCCTGTGTCACAGAAACAATGAGCAAAATCTGGCGGTCAGGAGCTCACTGGTACAAGCGAGAAAGTAAAAAAAAAAAAAAAAAAAAGAAAAAATAATTGCTATAATTTAGTCACTGAAATAATGTAGTTGCCTCTGAGTAAGCAAGTGACACACAAAGTCCTGCCTAAAGGCCAAACCGGTGGACAGCTCAGGGGTACACATATTTTAAGGTGAGAGTACTTTCTTTTGCCTAAAATGCTACTTTTGTGTGTGCAGGTGAGGTGGGCAGCTGGGTCCTCGAAGCTGCTTGAGCTCAGGAGGCTCCTGGTTAGGGTTTTTCGTGGGGTTTATCTGTCAAGGATGACCTGAACACAGGTAACAAAACTATACACAGCCTTAGGTCAAAAAACAAATGGCAGGTGAAAACATACAGCTTATTTAAGAAATGACTGTTACATGAAATGGCTCCTGACTACTAACAAGGATGGTGACCCTGGTTACAAGACTTCCTAAGTGGAAAAACCTCAAATCCATGCTTAGGGGAGGATGTGCCAAGGAAAATGCTGGGAGGGCAGCAAACAGTCCTGCCATGAAACTGAGTCACCCGACAACAAACTTTGTCTCCTGCGAGACCTTCAGAGCCACAGAAACTTAGCGAGATGAATGTGGTCCTGCTCGCATCAAGGAGGGCTGTCCTAAGCACCCTGCTGTTCAAACTCCTCTCATTTTGAGGGAGGTTGAAACACCAGCGTGTGTCTTGGCAACATTTCAGCTTTACAGTAATTTTTAATGTTTCTGCACCTGTCTTCTTTGTTCTTTTCTAGGCAACTTTCCTAGCCGGAAAACTAAGGGGAATGATATACCAAGATTACATAGGAGGTTTCATGTTCTGGCAGAGCTGCACCCCCCCTTAAACATCTTGATATCCTCACTTTTCTTGAGAATATGCTTTTTGCTTATTCCAATAGTCTGTAAACCCCAAGAAACCAGAGAGCCTGGGACCCATTTCACAAGGTTTTTGCGTGCCCTCCAGCAGGACATAAAAGAGACCCTCCCTGACCTTTCCCACTGATCCTTAATGGGAAATATGTGAGGTTTGAAAGGGAAGYGAGCTCCGCACAGTTCCGATCGCTTCCTGGAGAGCCTGAGTGAGGGCACTAAACAAAGAGCAGCACAGTGCTCGCTGCCTCCCCTTGACCCCTCATCCCACCACCCGGAGGGGAGAAGAGGCAGCAAAGGCACTGAGTGAAAGATGGGAGCAAGGAGGAACAAAAAATGTGATTAATCATTAATTTCCATCTTGTGTGAACTCTCTCCTAGCCTCTAGA